AGAGTGAAAGAGGTGTCCTGTGAGTACCTTAGGGGAATATAGGTTCAAGATCACATGTTGCTATACTGGAGGGGTTGTATTGCTGTGTATAGTTAGGGTCTGTGTTGGGGTGTCAGCTAGTTCTAACACATCTGCTTTACCTCCGCCAACCCAAGCACGTCACCAACTGAGAGTCGTTCCTGCAATGCTGTCAGACAATCAGAAGCACAGGGGCTCAGGCAGCTCTGACACTTGGCCACTGCTTACATCTAATCTCCAGCACTGGAAACAGGGATTGTTGAAGACTCCATCATGCTTCCTTCAGCAGCAGGGAGGTACTAGCTCTTAAGTGCAGGTGAGGCATAAGGACAGCATGAGGATGCTCTAGGGAGAACTGTGGCAACTCCCATCTTTGGTCCCTTGAAACCTGGCACCCACCTCTGCTTCCCTCTTGACAGGAACAGCACAATCCAGAGAGGACAGTCTGGCCTCTGGGAAGCTACCAGCTTTGCCTGCACCAGCAATTCTTGCCTGTAAGGCCAGAGGGGCAATTCTGGAAGAAAAGATTCTTCTGTGGGTGCTGCTGCCACTGGGTTGATTTTCCCACCACTGATTTTTGTCATGCAAAAGGACTGGTCAAGGCATTGCTACTCCTGGAGTCAGTAAGCAATACATCTACTTTTTAGGTGGGCAGAGAGATATCCTCTTCTTATACACATAACAGATGGGATTTCACAGACAAACCAGGCAGGCTGCTTCCATTAATTCACTGAGTTGCAAAGATTTCCCGTCTAAATAAGATTTTCTTGCTGAGAAGGTCTTGGCTAACCATCACTGTGAAGTGATCTCACATGGATAGAGGGATATGAAAGGTCTGGACAGTAAGTCCTATGACGAGCAGCTGAGGGAGCTGAGGTTGTTTAACCTGGAGAAAAGGATGCTCAGGAGAGACCTTATTGCTCTCTACTACTACTCAAAAGGAGGCTGTAGAGAGGTGGGGCTCAGCCTCTCCCAAGCAACTAGTGACAGGACAAGAGGAAATGGTCTCAAGCTGTGCCAGGGGAGGTTCATCAGGTTGGATATCGGAGGAAATTCTTCACAGAAAGGATTGTTAAACATAGGAATGGACTGCCCAAGTAGGTGATAGAATCCCCGTTCCTGGAGGTGTTCAAGAATCGATTGGATGTGGCACTTACTGCCATGGTCTCGTTGGTAAGGTGGTGATTGGTCAAAGTTTGGACTCAATGACCTCAGAGGTCTTTCCAACCTACTTCATTCTGTGATGCTGCGATATGCAGCTTATCTGCTCTTGGTAATGGGACACTTACCCTTCCAGCCAAAATCCCCTTACAGAAATCTCTCATGGGCAGATTTGCCTATGGAAGCTAACCCCTTTCCTCCATAAAACCATCAGTGCCCAGCTCCAAGGCTAGGACAGGAGTCAGACAAGGTGCCATAAGCAGCATCCGCTCCCAGAGCCATCCTGGTTTCCTGGTTTCCTACATGCTCAAGCTGGCTGGAACTGAGGGCTCACACCCTCCAGCTTTCACAAAGTCACATTAATTAACTAGCCATTGCAAATGTATTTTTAATAGCAATAAAATGAAGCTAAAAATATGTCAAGCAGGTAAACCCCCAGTTTCAAATCAAAAGAGATATTGGATGCTCTTAGTCTCCAAATGCCACCATAGGAGGAGCCTTTCCTTGCTCTCTCTTCCGCCAGGGAGATGGGTGCTGCCACAGTGGGGTGCCCTGGCAGTCACTGATTAACCACCCACATGGGGGGGGGTTGCTGCCCACGCTGCAGATTACGTCTTGACCCCCTGGCCACTAATTTCTGATGCTTGACTTCACTCTGAAATATTTTTATAGACCTTTTGCCATAGCACTTGTTTCCCACAGCCTTTTGTTTTCCCTTTATAGTTTCAAATGTTTCAAATACAAGGGAGCAAGCTTTATTTTTGCCATCCTCGACTTGCTTTTTTTAAGTATCTGCTCTGCAGATCAGCCATCAAGCCTGTGTGAGGCAAGGATCTGGCCAGCTTTGAAAGTATTTAGGCACAATTCCCCTTCTTATGAGAAGAGCTTATAAATCTCCCAAAATAAGAGGTGAAATAGGATTTTTGTGAGCCATTCATGCTGCTTGGCTTTTTACCACATGCTGATTATTACCCACCTCCAGAGAGGAAAATATCTCCCACAGTGACTTTTCCTCACACAGTCCTATCTCTGTTGTGCTCTTTAGTACAAGCATGAAGACCTCACTGCCAGTGGCATAAGCAGTAACAGGAGAAGATATTTAAATCATTTTATATTTATTACATACATGAGATATAAAAACAAATTAAGAAAATAGCATCATTTTTTTTGTGAGTCCACAGGACCTTGAAAGAAAAATACACACATAAAGTGGATTGGTAGACTTGTGACTTTTCTGGTGTTGTATGTCTTCCTTTTCTTTCCCCTCACACTCATGAACAAAATACACTTTGCAACGTGATTTAAAGATGCTTTACAGAAAGGATATATTTTAGTGCTGAAAACTGCAGTAAACTGTGCTATATTTCATACTGGTGTTAATGAGGAAGTATAATGGCCATATATATTGCAAACAATAACACAGAAGAAAACAAATAAAATGTTCAGTTTTAAATACTAACATAAAAATAAAATAAAATCCAGGCCCACCATGAATCGCTGGGTTGTGATATGTGAATGCAAGTCCTTTCCATTCTCTGCATCCAATCCTTTGCCTGCAATCAGAGTTTTACTCCTCTGGCAATTGCATTTTTATCTCAAAGTCTCTTCTTCTCACACTGTTTACAAAGTCTTGCTGGAGTCCTGCCCACGGGGTCCAAGTGCTGGTCTGAAGCTGGGACTTCAGTGCAAATACTTTATCTTTCAGATTGCATCCTCAGATATTCTGAGTGGCCAGTGCCAGGCTGGCCGTTCCCTTTATACCACCATCCAACTGAGAGGGGTCTTCAGGAGTGCTTCTGTTTCAGGGACTTTTTCACATGCTACCTTCAAACTCTTCTTTCCCCAATACATTTAGACTTCCTGCACTGTGAAGTGGCAGGTAGTAAAGTGCTTTATACAATGAAATATTTACACTAGGGCTAGGTTCATTTTTTAACACTTCAAGGACAAAAGCTCAGAGATGCTGCACCCTCTGGAGCTGGCTCTTCTCTGCAGCCAGGCAGTGGGCCGAGAGCTGGCCTCTGCCCTACGTCACACTTGTGCCAAGGCAGAGGGATTCAATCCAGTGCAGCAACTCCATCCTCAACAGCATCAGCAGAAAACCTAGCCCCTGAAATCTTCAGCAGGGCGAAGAGGTTAAAAGCAAGTGGCATCCAATGCTCTTTGACGAGTGCCATGTCCTAACCTGTAAGGGGGTGTTTCTAAAGAGTGGTCATCATTGCCATGCTGCTGCCAGCGCCTGTCTGCTGCTGTGGCCATCGCCTTCCCCACAGCATTCTCTGGGAGCCTCTGGAAGTCACTCAAGATCCACACTGGTGGGCACTGGAAGTGGTGTTTTACTTCTCATCTGTAGCTCTTCCAGGGTGGCAATTTAGTCTTGGGTGATCAGTGGCTTCATAGGAGTTACTCCAACATTGCATTGGAGCAAGACAAGCATCTGCCCTTCCATTTCTCTCAACATAATGATGAGTTGGGCTCAGGTGAGCCCCTGACAAGGAAGCTACAGGCAAGTGAATGAACATTGGCTAGAAAGGGTTAAATTAGACAGTGCCTACAACTCTGAATGCCTCACTACACATTTTGGCACTATTTTCTTACATTCCAGTTTTCATCCTAGAGGTCTTCTCTCTGTGAAGGGTGTTGCATTTTGTGCATAAAGAAATGCCCTAGACTGTTACACACATCTAGTTGCAGTCTCTTTTCAAAATCTCCAAGACCTTTCTTCCAAGAGCCGACTTCCACTGATGGACAAAACTTTTCATGTTGACGATGAGTCTGCCTGTTCGGAAGTCCTCATGTCCTGCCACGAGATACTCCAAGCCTGCAAAGCAGCAAAGCTGTCAAGGACTGCACAGTACTATGCTTAAGAGGCTTATTGAACTGCAAAGTCAGCCTGGATATCTAGTCCCATGTAAAAAAGCACTTATACAAAGAAATGTATATACATATTGTTTCTCATATATATCTGTATATCTATAGCTCTATCAGTAACTATGGAAAAATAACCCTTGTGGCTATCTGTCAGTGAGATGCAGTATCCAAAGTGTGACTTTGTTAGCTCCTAAATGGAAACCGAACTCTGGGGGCTGCACTACAAATTTTTATACCTTTTTTGGGAACTGCTATTACCTTCATTTGGCAGCCTCACATCTCCCCGGATACACCTGGGCCTGGAAATTGGTAAGTTCAGCAAATTCCAGTAATGGAACAGTGCAGGATGGCCCAGTGCCTGGTGTCTTGCTCAAAGTGGCCAGTGGTCCCTTGGAGGCAAAGGCACACCAGACCCCAATGACAGGTAACACTAAATTTGCTGGCACAAGCACCCTAGAAGAGCCTGAAGGGGTGTCAGTCACGCTGAAAAGACCTGCTAATTTCTGCTTCTGCTAGATGTTTTAGAGATATGACAGGAGGGTCTGACGAAGCCTTATGTGGTGTCCAGAAGCAGCCAGAAAGGGCTGGAGTGTGTCCCAACAGTGCCCTGTTGCTCGCCCCAGGCATCCAGGTCTGTGTTTAACTTTCAGGGCATGACTCATACAGCACTTGGAATCAGGTAATAACTGCTAAGCAGAGGGACAGAGCAAAGACTTTGACTTAAATTAGCTAAATAAACACTGCTACATATCCAAACAGCCTAATGAGCTGCAACTGTGGCATAAACGGGGATAACAAGGAGGATAATCCCTTCCATGGCAGGAGAAGCTCCCTGCCAGGGTCAGCGTTCTGCTGCAGTACACTTAGGGTGCAGCCAGCATTAGACTTCTTCTGTACCAAATCATGGGGAGATGAGTCTCCCCATGTTCTCTCAGTCATCCTGTTCCATCCTGGCAGGGAGTCTGCTCGTGTTTTCTCGAGTTTTCATTCTGCAGTTCAGAATAAAGACTTTTAACTCCTAGTTAAAAGTCAAGGATGTTTTGCTTTAATTCAGTACAATTTGTTATCTACTTCATCTGAGTTTTTGGGCACACACATCCTCTCTTCTGCCAAGTAAACACAGGATATGTGTATGGCAGCATCACCCTTTGCAAGACATTAGTTTTGGCCATGTCAATCTAGCTTTTGTAAGACATCACTTTTCAAGGGCTCCTAAATTTACCTCCCTTGAGAGAGAAATGCAGTATTCACACTCAGAGAGCAAGCAAATATTGCCACGGTTGCTCACTGTTGTAGGGCTTTCTAGATTTGCAACCCAGTGCTACAGAAGAGTAAAATTAAAATGAGGTAGGCAACTCTCTGCCTACCTGTGTCTGTGCTTGGCAGAGCCAAGGAGGGGAAGGTCTTCTTTTCCCTTGCAAACAGCTGAGACCTTTAAACCTTTCAGCTCAGTGTCCCCACAGAAGTCCAATCTGCCTCTGTGGGTGTGTGTGGAGGGAAAGGTGTGCAAGGGTGGTGAAGAGACTCATCTTGTAGGAACTTAAGTATGTTTATAATCTGAAAACAGCCCACGAAGACATAAAACCACATCTGTCTTACTTTTATGTTCATCTTTGGTCTCCTTTATGTTTTTGGGAGATGTGATTTCCACTGTAGTTATATGTCAGAGAATTGTTTAATATCAGCTTGACTTTTCATCCAGCTATTGTTGGTTTATTCATCTGGAGGTCATAAGCTCTTACTCTGAAAGAGGGTTAAATCTGCTAATATTGCATTGCCAACCACTCAGAAATTACTGTGGTAGCTAAAGAAAATACTGAGTCTTTAAAAAATACCTGGGATCTTTCCCCCCCCCTTTGAAATTATTGAATCTTAAAGATGCACTCAATTTATGTTTTCAAGTTTCCTATTAGCACTGAACTTCACGGCTTCTTTTCAATGTGAAGGCTGAGATTAATTTATACTCACAGGACCAGCAGCTGCATTTCAATGCAATACCAAGCTTTGCAACGTAAATCATGACAGCTGTCAAGGGAGTAACAAGGGAGAAACACCTGATGTGTCACACACCTGAATTATTCCTAAAGACAGTTGCATATCCACCCTTCTCCTGCTGTCTAAGAGATCTTAATTGATTCTGTGATTACTGCTGTCTTTTCATCTGTTGGGGAAAATCAGTGAAGCTCCTCTAAAGTTAGTGGAGTGGCAAAGCTGGGTGTTAGGCGTGGGGCTGCCCTGCATGCTTGGTTTCAGACAGCTTCCACAGCATTTCTCCAGGTTCATATTAAGGCAGCTGCATCTGGGCTGTCTTGTGTTTCCATTGCATGCAGAAAAATAAAATAGCTATAGCTATTTGATTATGGATTTATGGTGTTCTAGCAATATCCAAAGTCTTATTGCACTTAAATAGCAGAACCTTGCCTAATGCTGCTGATTCATCCAACCTTTGCACCTGACAAGACTTCATAGTTACAGGTGCGCTATCTTGGCAGCATGCCTTCAAAACTAGACAGTCACTCCAGTGGAGATGAAAGAAGACTGCAAACACCTCATCAGTGAGTAACCTTTCTGCATGATCCAGTTTCACAGACAGCCCTTTACCCCGAAAAGAAGTTTCTAATGCTGCACACAAGGGATGTCTCAGTACCGAAGTCAGCGCTTCAGTTGCTGATTTCCAAGTGGTGTATGCACCTTATGGAAAGAAAATCCTTTACCTGAATTAGTTGGTAACTGTTGATTTATCTTGGAGTTGTAAAGAAAGGTGTATCAGCTGGAGCTTAGTTTTGCTCTCTGGAAGAAAAACATGAATCTGCATGTCCTTGTCCATGCTGGAGTCTGCACACACTGTTCAGCCCCCACTGGATATACTCACTTCAGTGAAAGAAGATGAGAAAAAATTGCGGAGCTCTCATGTCACTGCATAAGAGAATATCTTCCAAATTTTGTAGATGTAAATTAGTGTTACTTTCAAAGAGACATCTTCCCTTGAGTTTAGATTAGAACTTCAGTACAATATCATCACTCAAATTAGATTTAAATGTGTTTTTATGGATTCAAATTAGCTTTAGCTCTGGAAGATATGTCATGCAATTGTGGCATGATGTGCACCTCCCTCCATCTGGGAACAGACTGAGACTGGTAAAACTGAAAGACTGTTACTATGCTACAAGTTTTTCTTTATGAATTCCAATTTGATGAAGACTGCTGTTGGAATCTAAGTGATGGAACAGCCAGTAATTTTTAAGCAGCACTGGGCTGCAATCTCAGGTCACTGGCATGAGGTGACAGAGGTGTGGGAATGAAATCTGTGTAAATGTGGTGGAGATGTACTGCTCAGGGAGTAAAACCTACCGGGATTGAGGATGGGACAAGTGCAGCCTCTGTTAGTCCATGATTCAGGGTAGAGTGTTCTCTTGCCCCGGAGGATCTTCAGCTTTGTAGATTTCAAGACTTTCTTGATCTTCACATTAACTTCTGCATGGGAGCCTTTGTCATGAGCTGACAAGATCTTCGTTTTGATCACTGGAAAGTCAGGAATTCAAAACAGGCATATACAAATTATTTACAGTGCTCCCTCTTTTTTTTTTTTCTTTTTTCCTGGTCTAATGCAGGTGTCTGGGTGAAGCAGTGAGGACAATTGCTTCATTACAATGGAGTTAGCCCAGTACTCTTTGCTGGGGAGCCTGGGATCAGTTAAGCTTCCAACAGAACACATACATCCTCATACCTAAGGGCAGAAATGCTGACGGTTGGTTTGGCCATGGCCTGCGGACCTGCCACATGGGCAGCAGGAGAGGTACAATGACCTGATTTTCAAAGCTTGTGAAGGTCCCATTTCCTCCCTGAGCTCAGCAAAATCTTTGGGTTTCTTAGCACTTTTGGAAATCAGCTGGATTTAGGGATGGACCTGGAGGCTTTGCTGGCCTTGGCCTGAGCAGCCAAGGCAGCAGGCAGGGGTGTGAGGACCTGCTGTCATTCCACTCTGGTGCTGGTCTTCCCACTTTGCGGAACTGCCAAATCCAAATACAGTGGAGGAGAACGAGATGTTGGTGGAGACTGGGGCAAAACATGGAGTACCTTGAGCTCACAGATTCCCACAGGCACACTCCCACCATGTGGCATTCTACTGCTGAGCCCATGTGGTGGAGGTGCAGGGCTCAGTTCCTCCACCTGACCGTGCTGATGCCAACACTGGAAGATATCCCCATATGGTGGTGCTTTATTCAGCACCACACATTAGGAAGCTCAGGGCAACCTCTCACAGAATGGCCTCCTGGAGCTCGTGACTGGCCCTGTATTTCATCTGTCTCTCCAGTTTAGCTGACACCTATGCATGTTGAGTGATGAAAGGGAGGGAATCCTGAGTGCACTTTAGGTGTGATTTATGAACTTAGGGTTTTTGTGCCTTTTTTTTTTATTTTGTATCTTTCGCAAGACTAAACACAGTCATTATTGTGGCCAGGAAGCAAAGTAAAGCAGAATCAGATTTTCTCCTAATATCACTAAGCCAGGGCAATATTTCAACAACTGGCAGCCCCTTGAACTCCCCTTTGTCAGTTGCTCTGCAGCCTGCAGAGGTATGGGTTATCTCTGTGCATTTTCAACTTCGGTATGAGATAAAACAGGTGTGAGAGACCCCTACAATACTGAAGGAAGGGAGTGCTGCACAGCATTCCTTGCTCTGCTACGGTATGAAGGAGACGGTTTGCTGGCACATACCAGAGAGGTCTTGGGAAACAAAGTTCCTCCTCTCATTCATTTAAATCCAAGAGACACACAGATGACATAGATTACTCCATTGCAATAGCTGAACTTTGTTGACAGAGGGAAGTTCTCAGTGGCTGCCTGAATTGTTTTCTCCATGTAGTGCCTTCTGTGGTGATAACCATCCCTCCTTACATTTGGTGTCATTCAGACACGGTGATTTCTAGACTATGATTGAGGCAACTGGTCTACAGACAGTGTTTCAGTGATCTGTTTTTGGTAACAGTGCTTTATAGTCTGTCTTGGACCCAGACAACCTCCCAGGGACAATTCTGGCTCTTGTCCTCACATGAGTTTGGTACACAGGTATTTCGGTAGCAAGAGAGATGGGGAACAGAGCAAGATGCTTCGCCCATCTTGACTTGGCACCATGATGTCTATATATTTTGGAAAGGTCAAAGACATGCCCTTAGACTAAGTAGCCCTTGGGTTTGCCAGGATGGAGCAGTTCATGCAGTGGCATCTCTCATGCTTTACATGCACTCTTGCACTGCCTTGTAGCACTTCCCTTTACAGCCCCCTCACCCGCAACTCACCATAGGTGTACTTCATCCCACAGAAGACCTTGGGATCCCCTAAAACTTGCTCTTTACATTCGCATTTACCTGAGGAAAGAGAAGAAAGCAAATGGCTGTGGATTGTACTTAAAAGACAGGAGCATTCACAAGCAGGGCCCAGGACTTGTCAGAGGTTTTTCAAGTGGCCCACAAGCCCCATGCAAAAAAAAGCAATTCGCAACTATTTTCAGATCCCGAGTGAATATACAGTCTTAGTCCAGGGACAATTATTCCTTGTTTACGATTAGAAGAGAAGGGAAACAAAGGCCTTATTATTTTGCCTGGGGATGCAAATAACACGCGGTATTTTCCACACCGTAATGTACCAGACAAAATTTTAAAAGGAAATGTTGCAGAGGTTAAGGCAGATTAATGACTTCCGTGATCTTAGAACAAAGAATAACATGATATACTTATTTACGTTTAAAATGAAGTCGCCCAGACAAATGATGGAGCTTTCCCCTCAATTAACTCAATTATTGTATCTTTGAGATTTTATCATGCTGCTCTCTGAAAATGGAGGAAATGACGCTTGCCTGCTTGCATGCAGTGATTGCAAGGCAGGACAGCTTGATGCTGTGCTGTGGGGACAACCTGCCTTGCACCAACCTCACACAGCACCCACCTCCTGCAGGCTAGGGACACAGGAGGTAAATAACCTCCCCGGCTGAAGCTGAAATGCTAGACCATTTCAAATTGCATCATAAGCTGCAACTGATGCCAAAATTGTTGTGGGTATCATGGAAATAAATTTCGATTTAGAAATTTCCTAATTACCTGCCAGCAAAGTGGTAAATAAAGTTGCTGGTTTGTCCAACATGTAATAGTTCTAGTGAATATAAAGATACCTTTAAAACATGATGGTCAAGTAAAGAAATGAGGGTATTCAGTCTTGAAAATCAGAGCTAGGACTGCAAATTCTTGCCTTACCAACAATGCTAAGTGCAGGCATTCGACATGCAGCATCTGCCTCGTGGGTTTGCATGTCCTCGCACAGATGGGATGAGCCGTAAGGCTCCTCTGGCTCTCGGAGGGGAAGGAGATGGTCACAAGGACATTCCCTCACATGGTAGTGGGCGGATGTCCATCCCTTCCTGCAACTGCCAGGGTGCTAGCTACATGCCAGTGCAAAAGAATGGTGAGAAGAATTGGGCAGGTGAAACACATGCAAAACTACAGTCCTACCGGAGTGTCGGAGTGCTGAGAAGCCCTGTTCATCCTCCCAGCCCCAGGTGGGCTCGCTCTCGTTGAGCACTGCCTGGAAAGGAGGTGCTTCGTTGTGCCAGGTCACATCTGAGCTGTTGAGGGGAAAGGGAGACGGTCAACCTTCCTCCTGGAGCCAGCGGAAAGCAGGGCCACTACCAACCCGTCCTCCACACAAAATGTGACAGCATGTCTTGATGATGTTAAAAGCAAGAGGCAGTTTTGGAAAGTGAACAGTTTGAGTGTTGTCAAAGTGGGTTATGAATCCATTTTGGGTTTAAAATATGTTATAGGGATTTATATACCATAAATATCCCCAATGTGGTAAAAAGAAGCAACATACAAGATTTGGAGTGGGGGGTATTATTAAAATCTGCTGTCTTCTAAAAGTCAGAGCTTGACTCCAAGTCCAACCCAGTCAACCTAAGCTGAGTTACAACAGCAACAATATTAAGCCTTTGGTGTCCGCTAACTCAGATATCGCTGAGACCTATATTTTGCTTGTGGAGAGAAAAAACTGTGAAGGTTATGCAAAACACCCGATACATTAACAACACCACTGAGAGCAAAAAATCCAACATCACTGGTCCCTGCCGTGGTGTGCCAGGCACCCAGGTGAATCTCAGCCTCACCTACCATTCTATCCCCAGTTCTTGACCATACCAAACCCAAAATATTTTTCATAATGGATATTTTTCAGCCTGCGTGCCATGCATAAATAGTGCCTTCCCTGGAAGGAAGATCATGGAGGTATGGCGAGGCTGGGAGAGGGGGTAAGACCCTCCAACTCACCTGCTGCTGTGGCAGTCGCCGGTGTGGGGGTCGCAGCTGCGGGCGCAGTCACAGGGGCGGCAGCCATAGGCTCCAAAGCCCCAGTAGCCGGGGAGGCAGTGGTCACAGCGGGGCCCCGCCACACCGGGCTTGCAGGGGCAGTCACCGGTGCTGGGGTCGCAGAAGGTGCGGGGGCCCAGGGGAAGCACAGCCGATCCCAGGGGGTGACAGGAACAAGCTGCAGGGGACACCGTGAGGGACAGAGCATCTGTGAGTGCACGAGCTCTGCAGGAAAAGGCACAGGAGATGCCTGACAAACCACCACTCTGCCTAAGGACACTGGTGGGGTTTCTGTGCTTTTTTTCCCCCTCACCCATACAAACCTGCGCAGAGTCTCACTTTGGAATCTGCATTATTTTAACTTCTGTGAGCTATTTTAATTAATCAACCTACCCTGGTGTCATGTTACGTTTTGCCAAACAGGCCTTTATTACTTTCCTTACAGCATCTGGACTCTAGTCCAGCCAACTACTCGTGGATGTGCCTGGCTCACTGTGAAATTTAAGCAGCTGTGGGTGCTTCATTGCAAAAATGAATCAGAGTGTAATTGCTTTTTCAAGTAATAACAACTGTCTTGCATCCAGGAGGTTAAAAAACCCCCTCAGAACAGTCATTTTAATTAAAGTGGAGGCTGAGCATAAAGTACCCCTCTGTCTCTGTCTGATTTTTAAACCCATCATTTAAAAACATTGGAAAAAAAGAATGAGGATACTAAAAGCTCAGAGATATGCTTTTGCATATTCTCCAGAACATGGGTTTGCAGGCTGCATGTCAGAAATGCCAGTTGCTCTCCCTCCTCCCCCACAGCCCCTTGCAGCAGAACAATACATTAGAAGTGTACTGGGACACACAGGGTTTAGGATGCCCTAAAACAGGTGGTGTGAAGTTTTCCTTGCCTGCTGCTTAGGATTTTTCTTTTGCATAAATGCAATTTATGTCTTTTGCAAGACTACTTTCCCCCAAAGATATTAATATTTTCAAAGACCAGAAATACAGATATCAAAAGCATAAGGCAAACCTCTGACCATCTGGCCAGGCCAGCAGGCAATGTGGTGACTTGTGCTCTCCTTCCCTCAGGGTTTGGTTCTCTGACCAGGAGACCATAGTATGATGAGTCTTGTGCATTATGGCAAAAAATTCCCTGCCGAAAAACTGTTGCCCAAAACTTCATTTACATAAAAACTGTATTTCCTGAGAAAATTTCATCTGGAGGGAAAATTTTCACTAAATCCTAATACCAATCTTTTTATTTTGCAGCTGCAAAGACAATAAAGCAGAAAAGCCACTGCAGGCAACACAGCCTTTCTTTCTCTTAAAATACTTATTGCTGCACACATATATTTAATTTTGCTCTGACAACATTTTTGTGGTTTCAGGAATCTGACATACCTGGAGTATTGTTTCAAAATATTAAAGGATAGATTAATATTGGCAGTTAACTTAGAGGTGACTACTATTCCAACATCTTTGCCAAAGTAATCCCCAAATTTTCCCCACTCTTTCCATTCCCAAACAAATATAATTATATAAAATTAAAAGATTAGAAGGCCTCTCTGCAAACTGCATAACTAGCTGCAGGCAGTGAACTCCAGTACCTTTAATAGCATAGTTTTCAACAGCACTCACTGAGACTTGCATACCTTTCTCCTGAAGTCTGTGAAGTGTTTTACACCTGATACATATAGCCAAATGCTCTCTTGTCCTACTAGATGTGGTGGGTATTTCTGGCATTCCTCAGCCCCTTCAGGGGAAATATCAAGCACTTAAGGCTCTTCTATTCTCCTGTAGCCAGGGAGATAAACCCACTGCTCAGTGAGAGACTTGGTCCTGTTTCGTTTGGGTTTCAGCTGAGTTTTACAGACAACCCTATTGGGATTGGAGCTTTTTATGTTTTAAAAAATTCTTTCACACAATTCTTTTCCTAATAGAAAATTTAACATCGGTAGCAACACCATGGTGAAGGAAAAATATTGAATTTACAAAGGCTGCTATGAAAAATAGAGCAGTAAACTCACAGGCAAGTAAAAAGGCAACCAAAAATGAGAATGTATTGGCTATACTTTTAATAAAAGCCACAAAGAGATGTGTTGTAAAGGTTGGTAATTTCTAACAGGCCTGCATACCCACTCCATGGACCCCATCCTTCCTGGCTGCTCCTCTATGATCCACCACGGTGCCAATCTGCTTTCCAATGGTGACCAGCAAATTGAAGCTTTTTCCTCTTGCATCTTGGGTGGAGGCCCAAGATGATACTAAATGGCATTAATCTGAATGGTTGGGTGGCAAATTTTCAACATTGTAAATGTTTGTGATGGGCCGCAGTGGGAACATGCTGGGCAATGCAGATATAAAGTGAAGCCCATCACTACACACCGAGCACAGAAATGAGACTCTAAAGCTCAAATGAGAGCACATTGTATCCCATTTGAAAGAAATGCATGAAACCAGGATGGAATGTTTCCATACTATGGCAAGAGCAGGAAGAAAAAGACTGCAGGACTGATTATATGTTGTTTGGAAGCTGGAGCTAGTGCTCCCTCACGGGCAGCTGTGCTGTGTTGGTTTTAGACCCCATTTTCCTCCTTCCACACAATCTGCACAGATTGTAGGAGACCCATGTCCAGGAAGGTGAGAGGAGCAGCTGAGCAGCAGATAAAGCAGCTACAGACAGTGTTGAATGGCATTTCATTGTGGATACACAGGTGCAGAGTGCAAGACTCTCAGTGCAAGGCTTCTGACAGTACCTGTCCCATGAGCTGTGGCCACCTCACCAGGGAGGCTGGGGGTTTCCAAAGCCAAGGGAGCTCTCGCGAGAGAAGGGCTGGCTGGGCACCAGCCTTGGACCAAAAGAAACATTCCACAAGCTTGATCTTTTGCTTGCTTTTTGATCTGTAAGCAGAATTGCTAAAAATGCTGATTTACCACCCTGTATACATAGCAGTATTTTGCACGTGACTTCCATGCACATATGAATTAACAGCTGCCTGTCCTGGCATGGCATGTGCTGACTGGGATGGAAAACCAGTGAGTAAGATGCCAGCAAAGCTGGATTTCTCCACCCTGGATTGGTGATACTGTTGTGGTTTCTTCAGCTGCCAGCTAACCTTTCAAAATGACAAATATTTGCCCTGAAAAACCTACATCTGAAAAGCAAAAATAAACTAGGCAATTATAAAATTCGATTTTATTGTCTGCAATTCTACTGTAGCTGAGGCTTAAAAATTCATGAGGATGTAAAAAAAAGGACTGATAGGTATGGCGGGGGGAAAGAGTCATCAGATTGGTGTTTTAAACATCAGAATGTCTCATTTTATCAGGTACACACCTTCTCCAGAGCAAATATTATATACACTCTTTGCCTACAAGAATCTTTAAAGTATCCTTAAAGATTATGGCTTAACAACTCCTTTATTTACTTTGACCTAGGTATTTTTAAATTTTCAATGGTTGAACAATAACGGTGCCTTGAGTCAAAGCAATGCCATGGCCTTCCCAGAAAGAATAATAGGGCTCCATGCACGTCTCTTGTTATTGCAAACCATGGCATGGTCCTTGGAAACATTCCAGGCATAGGCTGTAATTGATCTTATATAATTTAATTTAACAGTCATTAGTCATTTTCTACGGCCCTGCAGCTGCCATCTCCCCCAAGATGCTGGGTCCCTGGGTGCAGGGAGAATTCCCAGCAGCAGGAGACCAGAAGTGAAGAGATGGAGGGGTCTCAGGAAGGAGTACATCTGTGAGGGTTTGAAAAGCCCAGAGAGAAATTGTGTGTGAGTTTGTAGTAATAGGCTCTCTGAAAAGAAAGAACTCAGATAATCCCTACATTTGTGGAACCCAGTTTGTGCTAGGAAAAGTTGTCTTCCTCGGATACTTTAGTACTTTATGCTCCGTAATTCATAAATACAGGAAAAAAAACGGTGCAACAAAGTAGATGTACTTTATGCAGAAGGTAAATAAATGTAGACTTTTTCTTACTGTACTCAAGAGTATCTTACAGTTTTTGTCAAATGTATGTTATCTTTGGCTTTTAAATACCAGAGTTCAAGTGATACCTAGTGATCCATAAAGAGGTTGGATTGTTGCATTAAAGGGTAATGGGGGCACACGTGTTTTTTCTTTTTTTTTAAATGTGGAAAGTGGAATGCCATGGGCCAGTGACTCAGAGATTAATGCAGAAAGCCAAGAGAACCAAGCACTGGCATATGTCAACAAGAATATTCATTAATCATCTAATCTCCATAGCTTCCTCTGGCCCAGAAAGACTGGGAGAAACTTTTTAATCAAGAACTCTGGAATTTGGCTAACATATAGCTAATGATGTGATCTAATGCCTGACTTCGTTAGCGATGGTTTAACTTGCACACGGGCACAGGCACAGGCACACACACACACACACTGTTGGCAGCCTTCCCTGTGAGCTGTGGCTGTTCTGCAGCGATATGTTTCAAGACCTCTTGTTTCCATCTGGCTTTGTAAGGAAGGAGGCTCTGTGCTGGCCAGCTCAGGAGGTGCCATTTGACTTTCTCTTGGACCCTCCAAACAGCCACAGATTTTGAACTGGGCATTCTGGCACCTGGAAAACCCTACGATGAGTCCCTCGTGAAACTCAATCTCCTCAATGGACTGCATGAGATGACACAGGAGGCCACTCCTATCCCTTCCAAGGTGAAGGGTGGTGTTTTTAGGTGTTCAGAACACCATATTCAACTCAGTGCCAAAGCTTCACTTGGCCTCAATGGCCTCGGAAAACTGCGTGTTCTTCCTTCATGGGAGCTGGCACATAATTCCATCAGGAATTACAACCCTAACAAAGGTACCAGACCCACAGTAAAAGCATGTTTCAGAGCTTGAGAGTCCCATATAGAATTAATTTCAGTCTCCTGTCTTGCATTATCTATCAGGTGTCAATTAATCCAATTGGTTCTTTTTTTCATCAGCAAGGATGAATCCCTGAGTTAGAAAAAACCATCAAGCCTCTGCTTATGGTCTAAATGCAAGACTTAAACCTGCTTTTCTGCTAATGAGACTCCAAAACCAAAGTTAATTGCCTAACTTCTGGAAATAATTAAGGAGGGAAAGTATCTGATGTTTCAGAGAAGGAGACTTGGAACTTTGATGTACACAAGTAGGTAAAGGAACTTTAAAAAGTCATTAAATTCACTGTTAAAAAAATTGTTTACATACTACAGCAGTGAAGTAATTATTTACACAAGTAATAGAGAACTGCGGTCAATTCTGTTTTCTTAAAGAGAACTAGGGTTGTAAAACAGGTGGTTCAGCTGTTGCTGCTCCTCCTTGCAATGAGTGAAGGGTAGACAGGAGGAGGACCTCTGTGACAGACTGGTGGGCTGCTGGGAATTTCATAAAGATGATATGCAGTGAGGGAGTGGGATAAAAGCAATTGTTCCCCACCCAACATTGAAGAACAAGGTGAAACTGCACACACCCTCCCAGTCTGGGGTGCAGCTCCCCACCACAGAAGGATTTCCTCTTCATTTAAATGCAGGTACTTCTCCTTGGGAGGAAGGAGTTGTGCTCAGTGTCTCCTCAAATAACATGGGCAGGGTGTCAGATTTTTTTCTGTCACTTACGAAGGTTCTCCTTCCGATTTGGGTCAGTGAGGTGAAATTTGGTGAAGCCAATGGGTGGCAGCAGGCTCAGAGAGCATGTCTACATTCCATATTTGGCTGACCAGTGTAATGTGATTGGCATGATTTGGGGATCCGGAGTCCCCCATGGTAAGTCACTATGCTCACAGTGGTCCCTGTGGCTTTTGGATTGCTGCTTTTGTTTGGGAAATATTTAATTTCACATGTGGCTGAGTCATTGCCTTTGGTCTGGTGGCCTTGGTGTCCCACTTTCCGAAGTATCAGTTAACTTGTTCCCGTCTGTCCCTCCATACCCACCTGCTGCTGCTGCGAACACGAACTGGTGGGCAATGCTATTTGTCAGCTGCACCCCTCTTGGCTTAGGCGCCTGATTCTGAGGTTGCAGCAATCACCAAACAAGGTGAACATGAAAACATGATGCAGCTTTTGCTCTCCAAAAATAGCAATAGGAGAAAGTAAATTAATCATCTCTCTTCCTGTGCCCTCAAGCTACAGAGATCATCAAGACAGATTTGTCAACAGCATCTGCAGACTTTCACCCTGCAAATATCACCACTGCTTTTGCAAATAGCATCACAAAGGGAATTCAAAGAGCTCTCTGTCCTTCACTGAAGCCAGAAGATTGCTCCAAGGAGGGGCAGGAAGATCTCACCTTTCATTTGACACTTTCCCACTTCAGAAGCACTTCACTAGTAAAAGGTTTCTGACTTACGTTTGCAGGCATCTGGGGCAGAGAAGGGCTTCCTGAGGTCCCGGTAGAAGCCCAGCTTGCAGCGCTGGCAGTGCTGCCCTTCTGTGTTGTGCTGACAGTTGTCACAGACACCGCCGCTGCGATTGCCTGATGCCAGCCACGCATCCATGTCAAAATGACAAGTGTCGGCATGCCCATTACACTTGCACGCTGAGATGAAGCCAAAGGGAACAGAAAGACTCATTAAGGCAGTGAAAGATATTGATTTGTAGAAGAGAGACACAAAAGCCCAAGCCATGTTTTGGAATGGGGACTTGACCTATGAACCTGTTATTCACTCGTAGGCATGGAGTATCATTAAATTTTCATCCCTACTTCCCAGCCTCTAGAAGTGACATTTAAGAAAAAGTATTTTCTTTAACTCTTTTATTTCCAATACAGGTTTCCCAGTACAAGGACTGGGATGCCATAGATGGTCAGGCCAGTGCAGGGAGACAAAAACAGTGCAAAGAGAGCCATTCCTGCCACACAAACACGTGGTGGGTGCTGGGCAGAAGTGCGGCATTGGCTCTTCACGCACTGAGATGCTTTGCAAGCACCTACCCACCACCCCAGTATCTGCTGCCTCTTGGAAACATGGGAGAAAGGCACACATGGAGGAAGCATTTTGCTCTGGCAGAGGCTCTGGAGACACTGTTCCTGACCAGCTACTTACACTGACACTCTTTGGGGGCTCCAGTTTTGCCGTCGGCAGCCTGCCAAGGCTGGTCATTGTAGAGCGGGGCACAGTGCTGGCAGTGGGACCCTGCTGTGTTGTGCTTGCACATGCATTTCCCATGGACCTAGCACAGAAAAGAGAGCAAGGATCACCCACAGAAAAGCCCAAAGAGTTTCCACAAGCAATGCCCACATACAGGCCAGCTAGATGCTATCACACACACGAGAAAGAGGGATAGCATAATGTCTGCCTCGATGTCCAGTGCAGCCAAGGACAAATATTCTGCAGTTACGCTTTCAATTAGATTAGTATTTGTGGATCTGCATGTCATGGTATTGTATAATCATACTTTTTTTTTTCTTTTTGGGATCTAAAAGGATCTTTAGAAGTTTTCAGGTGCAGCATGAATTTCCAGAAGAGATTAAAAAAGGCCAAGATTCAAAACATCCTTGGAAACACTGTAAAACCTTTCTCTTTTTCTCCCTCCCAAACATGAATACACCTTTGCAGTACTGCAGGAATAGCACCCACAACCTCAGCACCTAGCTCTGTGTGCCCAGCCATCACCAACACAAATAAGTACAAGAAAAAAGAAATTCAACCCCCTGAAACATAAATATCTACTCATCCTAGGCAGAATTTTTGCCCCACAAAGGAAGAACCAAGTATAACACAAGGACCATGACTGACTATTCTCGGACATGTTCATGACAGATAATTTAACAGCTAGACAGCCCAGTGTAAGGAGGTAATTAGAGATGAAAGGCCAGCGTAGCACGCTTGGTGCCAGCTGCCCTGTCAGTCGCTGGCATTACTCACCCTGTTGGCAAATGCAAAGAAAACAGGATGTAGCCAGAGGGCACAAGCAGCTCAGCAGTGCCTGGATGCAGTGAAATGGAGCTCTGCAGCAGCATGGCTCTGCTGGCAAGGCTGACGGCCCTGCCTTTTCCCATGGAGCAGGACAGGTAACTAGCTACTGTAGCTATTTTGGTGTGTGCCTGTGCTTGCAGCTTTACTCTGCTCGACATTTTGCTTTTAAATACACAGTTCAGCTTCTCCTGCTGCTCAGCAATGAGCCAGAGGCCTCAGTCTGCCCTGCTAGCATGGCCCTGTGCTCATGCCACAAGTTGGCCATAAAACCAGTGGAGCTACACCAGCTGCCATCTGCTTTTGGCATTGAGAGGAACAGAGGGCAGTTGAGGTGCCTGGTGATCCGGCCTGGAGGTGGGCAAGGCTTTAACTACTACTGGAAAACTCTGCCTTCCACAGTATTTAACTTGCAGTTTTACAAGTGTGCTGTTCCTAACTGCATGACTTGCTGCTGGGATCGCCACAAAAAAGGTTCCTGTGAAAAACCTGAACAGGAAACAAAACAGAAGAGGACCTTGAACATGTTGTAAACGGCTCCTGCTTGTTACGTTGGTACACAGACACACAGACACACACCACACACACACACCTGGCTGATGATAACTCTGATTTATTCACTTTTAATGAATAGATTTCAGCTGGTATCTCACAGCGGTCAGATGTAATCCCTCCATACAGACAAAATTTCAAAACGTACCTTGAAAGTGCTTCAAAGACTCTTCAGCAGCAATGAAAATAGCAAAACCTTTCATTCCTGCCTTATTAAAAATGTCTAGATCATCAAAGGAAAATACAGAACAACAACTGGGCTGTGTAAGCAATAGATAGATACAGATGGAATCGGAATGCACAAGCATCTAAGCTAAAGTGAAAATACATTGTTTTCTATGCTGTTTGGCTTCATTGCAGGTATCCGTTGGTCTCACTGCAGATACTAGATGGTCTGTCTGGCTTATTGTATTTATATATGCTTAAATCTGTGCTAATGTTTGAAAAGAATGAGAAAAAAAAAAAAGAAAAGAAACAACAAATTTGTGAGGGGAATATTTAGTTCTCAAAGTGTGTCTTGTGTTTTCATATTTTCATTTTTGCTACCACCTACAAAATGTTCTTCAAACTCTAAGATGCCTCAGTTTTTTAAATTACAACTCTTCCATAAATTTCTCTCTCTCATATTTTTTAGGCAAGGTCTACACACAGATTGATGTTACTTCACTCATTTAAAAGCATACACCTGCATGGAAACAGAAAATGGCTAAACCTGTATTGGTCATAAGGTCATCATCTGGTGGTTTTGATGGAGTTCTAACTCTTTGATGCCACTTCTGGTAGGAGTTTCTTGCAAGCCCTTTGGCCATTGAGTAGTTAGGGCTAAACAGGTTGTACTACCCTGAACCACATCTGTGGCAGAGAAACCCTTCAGAAATCCTTCCTCAAAGGAGTGTCCCAGCCATTAGGATAGAGGGACCCATCAGACCCAGGACATATGTGATCAGGAAGGAAAGCTGACCTGAGTGAGTCGGAGGGTGCCATGGCCAGAACCAGATGGTCCCCCTTGGTGCTTTGAAAATCATGATGACAAAGTGAGAAGGACATGGGAGAAGAATTGCAAACAGGGGTATCTCTTAGACACCGGGACACTTGGAATTACCGTCTCCCCCTGCCAAAGCCCACAGCCTGTAGCCTCACCCCCCAAATGCAGCTTCCTCCTTGCCAAAGCCATACAAAGAATCAGTGGGACCCAATCAATCAGCCAGAGGCTGCTCAGCATTAATAATCCAAAAACTCATCTGAAACTCAGCAGCACCCAAGAAACTCTCAAAAGGTTAAGCATCCTAAGACACCAGCACAGAGAGATGCAAAATTCCCCACTGAGGAACATTCACAGTTCCAAAGAGTAAGAGCTCACATTTTCTGAAAGCCCAAGTACTGTATAATAAATAGAGCATGCCACATTGCTGGAATAAAGGAAGGTGGGTGAAAATAAAACAGAAGAGGATGGGTATCCCAAGAACCTGCTGTGCCACCATTAATTTGGCATGCAGAGCTAATATGTAAGCCACTGAATAGCTGTGCACCAACATATTAATATTAATCTGTATGTGAACTCTAAAAAAAAAGGTTTTATAAAATTTAAAAGCTGTTGCAGCAATGGAAGGCTTGTGGGCTCTCAGATGCTGTGGCAAGGAGAGCTGCAAAAGAGCCAATTTGGAGATGATGCAAACCAAGCCAGCTGGTGTTTAGATAGCAGCAGAGCACGGCATGATGCTCCTGGTATTGATTGCTTGTAAAGCTCTGATGCACCTCGGCTCAAGGAAACAAATGATCTCCTGAAAAGCTTAAAAAAATACCCTAATAGCATGATTCTCATGTCCGTGTAAAGGCAACTGTAGGACCAGCACAGAGGCCCGAAGGCTTGAGCTCCCCAGCTGACTCGGTGGATGCTGTCGCAGCTGGGTCAGGAGGAACCACATGTTACCAGTCCTTATCAAAAGGGTGCTCCTTTGCAGTTTCTTTTCCTCAGGGTTTATCACAACCAGATGTGTCAGTGCCTTCCTCGGCTGCTCCCTCCCAAACACAGATCCCACTGTGGATCCTGCACCCCCTTTGCTCGCCTGGGCATGGCCCAGCATGACTGTTCAGTAGCCCAGCCTGCCATGCACGCTTTGCAAACCTGTGCAACCCTGCTCACTGCTCCCATCTCAGTGGGATTCATGTTTGGGTGAACACACACAGAGGCACTGGATGCAATGGCCCAGCTGATCCTGCTTCTGTACCACATGCAGCTACCCAGACTCCAATCTTTGGGAGTAAGCTTTGGAAAAGGCAGTAGGGTTTCCAATTCCAATGGTGCTGTGCCTTTATAGTGGTGCTACTTAAATGGGCTTGACACTGAGAAAACTTTGCCTCTCCAGGGTCCCCCCAAGTCTCAGAGTGGCCCCAACCCCTCTCAGCCAGGCAGAGCATGGAATGCAGACCCACTAACAAACAAGCTGAACAGCTAAATGGGCAGTCAAACCAGTAAGGGGAGGGAAACAGGGTCTTTAACTGCTTGTTTTTCAGTGCAACCATTTAGTTAGTGCCTTCTTTTCCCTATTCCTTTTTTGTAGATGTTTAATGAAAGTTGGACCCAGGTGCTTCAAAAACCTTGCCTCAGGCTGATGTATTTATTCTCTTACATTATAGCATTATAATGACTACCCCCCAAAAGAGCTCTGCTTTAAAAAAAAAAATATCTCCATCCTAGCTTTATCCCATTGAAGAAAATATCTTTTTTCTTTTACAAAATTCCAGCATGACAGAAACATTTTTACATGTTGGAAGCAACAAAAGAAGGTGAAAATTAGCAAACCCTTTGTTGCAGCCCATAGGCAGACATTATTTCTGTTAGTTATAAAGAAATACTCTGATAGCTGGAAATAGGAGAAAGACAGGACAAGAAGGGGTAATACAAGGAAATGAGAAGTGGTGGCAGATGAAAAACAGCCAACAGGCTGTCTACAGTGAGTAAAATTAATGCCTGTAAGAACTGTAGGAGGGCCAGTTGCAAGACTGCTCTGCCATGTAAACACCCTGTCATGCCACAGAGCAGCTGGGAGACGGAGCTAAGAAGCCAGCCCAGCAGCTCTTCTGGGACTCAAGGTAGAGTGGGGAAATGATGTACCTGGCCTCCAGGATTTCTCCAGCATCTCAGCACATTCCTGAAAGCAGAATGTGATCTCTATGCACTGACAGGGAAAAGAGGACATTTTTTCCTCCCTTTTCATTCACCTCGACTATTAGTTAACTGTAAGGCGTACCCACCAGGGTCATTATGGAGCATTGCTAAGTACACAAACACAATTCCCAGTATGTCTCATCCCTTTAAGCATTCACACGGCTCTTGACTCATTTAAGCAGCAAAGCCTTCTTATACCATTTTTCATTTTGTCATGGGGTCTTTATATCCCAGTTCACTTTCACACTGTTTCCCTTCTTAGCTTGACAGCCCCGTCGCAATGTCAGTCATTAGAGGGCACAATGCAAACAGTGTTACAAAAGTTGCCTTCTGTAAGATAAACGAGTGTCTGATTTCTCTATACAAAGACAGTTGCTAGGGCATGCTTCCTTCCAGAGCCTTTTGTTGCTGAATTATAACCTTCTAGCGCTTCCTTTCAGATTGCAAATACATAGGTTTTTTTTAGTCAAATCCTATAGATTACTTTTCCGTGCATTTATCATGTTCCAAAATGTTGAGCAGTGACAAAGAAATGC